TTCTCACGGTCTTGTCGCTTGCAGATTTCTTATACTTTTTCTTCTACCCTGAGGATGGGGGCGATACGTTCCTCCGAAACGTCGGTTAACACCACATATACACGGTGCCAAATCCCAGAAGACTGCTTTCTTCTGAAAACTTAATAAATAAATAAATAAATAAATAAAATAATAGAAGAGGAGAAACAAATTCAGCATAACCAATGTGTTATGCAAAATCTTGATAATTACACCTTAAATTGGTGGATGTTCATGCTAATACCAAGCAAAATACTGCTGCCTCATGCTTCTTTCTAACCATGTGAACAGCCACTGCAGTCTGTCAAATGTAAGGTAATCATTGCCCATTGTTTCACTTCTGGTTTTAATGTACAAAAAGACTTCATCAAGACATAACAGTTGTCATATATCCTGTATATGCAACACCAAAAAAATCCAGAGTCCACATTCAAAGTAGTTCTGATAGTTCTATCATTCCTTTCTTTCTGAGCGCACTCTCCAACCCTTCTCACATACTCATTTCAAACAATGCCCTGTATTTATTTTAACAAACATCTTTGTTCTCACAACAATTTCTTACTTATTCATTGTCATAACCCATTACTGAAAATTTAGTATATTATTATAGCAATCTGTTTCTGCCTGATGACAATTTCTTTTCATTAATTTCTGATGTATTTGAGTTTTTCAGTTAACGGTTTGATGTAGGCATTTTTAATGTACACTGCTTAAACTTAGCCCTTCCTCTCCCTGTGCATCATCTCAGGCTCTCACTACACACTCCCTCATAACAGTCCCCAACTTATTTACATCAACAAATGTTTTTCTGACAGTTCTCGACACATTCAGTATTATATTACACTCCTAACAATGCCCTGTTGTATTTCAGATAACAATATCCATTCATTGTTAAGTCTGATGTAATTTGTCAGAATATCAGTGTACGTATTTGAAGATACTTTTTTATTTTATTTTATGATTTAGTGCCCATAAATTATAACAACTGAAATTTTCCATGCTTTGTTATGGGATATTGAACCAGCAGGTTAAATTTTGAAAGTTAAATACACTTATTTTTACATCCCAAATTAAAAATTTAAGTTCTCTTTCTTTGTTAGGAGGGAAATCCTTTTCACATGGCAATTATGTTAAACTGGTAAAATTTACATAAATCATATAAGAAAGTTTTGGGACCGAATTATTTTAGTGACAAGGTGGAAGAACATTATAAACCCATGTCTTCTTAAACTAGTTCCACTATATGCAGATAGCCATTATTATTTTTTAATCAGTACACCCTAATTTTTTCCCATTCCATGATTATCATCTCTTTCTAATATCATGTACCTTTATAAGATCAGATTATACGCCTAACGTCTCAATTCTGCTGGTATGTACTGTAGAGGGGAGAGGGGTATTGGCACTAAGTGGGTAATAGTAGGCACATCAGTTTTTTAGCTCCAACCCTACATCTCACTGCAATGGAGCAGAGGATTCCAAAAATTAATGTTAATTATCAGTTGGACTTTTAAGGAACTATGCACTTTTTGTGCCTAGTTTTGTGTTTTTGCAGTTTGTATTGTCAAAAGGACCTGAAATAAAATCCTTTGTTAAGTCAAAAGGTATTAAATATCATAAAAGGAAACACTATTTACATGTAGTGTGTTTTCGTGGCCACTAATTCCTTCCTACTTTACCAATTTTCAGTTTTTGCATACACATGTCGAGGTCGAATTAAGTTAATGGTGTCACGAGAAGTAATCTTAATTCCCAGATACTGTGCAAAATTTCAAGTGCAATTTTTGTGCATGAAGTGTGACATCTTTGGTGAAGATCTTCAACCTTAAATTAGAGACAGACCTAAATGACAGCACAATTCACTTATTGAGTTATATATTCTAATGGCTTTCTTTTGGGGAGGGGGTTGTTTATAATATATATATATACCCTCCTAGTCATTAGTAAATTTAAGCTGTAGCTACATGTATTGGTTTCAGTTCCTTTGAAATGATTGTATATGCTTACACTGTGTATGTTTGAAATCTGTAGCCTGTTTCAGCCAAAATACTGTTGCATTCCAATGCTCCGCAGGTGGGTAATGGTACTTCCTGCTTGTTCCTTGTTTTTAAAAATACTTTTTCTCATAGAGATGTGGTTTTGTTGCATATACATGATAACATCAGTTGAATATTCTTCATGGACAAATGTAGTAAAATGGAAGAAACTCAGTAACATTCTGTAGCCATTCAAAATTAGGTGTGAGGAGTTCCCTCTTGCCCCCCTAATACTTAACACAAGTTAGGCATTCCATGGCCTAGCATGAGTTTAGTTTGCCATATTGCCAGTTGCCCTCACCCTGGCGCTAGTGTCCAATGTTCACCATTAATGAGTTCATCCATGAATCATATCCTTTACAAATTCCTGGTCATAGCTCAGAATGGATGCAGCATGGAGTGCAAAATGTATATTTACATGTATCTGTATTATAGTGCTGTACTCATACTCAGAATAAACATGTATTTCTTGTTGAATGCCATATCTGTTTACTCCAGTACTCACTGTTTCCTTGTACCAATGCTTTAAAGTTTTGTAACAGCACTTACTCATTGCACATTATGTTAGGTTGTTTGGTGTTGATCACCCATGGTTTGGAAAAGTTTCTGGTGCAAAATGTGCCGGATCTGAGAAGTCCAACTTATACCATCATCCTTATTTTTTTGGTTACTACTACTGGTGTGTCATCAACAAAATTAATGTAGGATTTGAGTTTCTCAGAATGATGGGTGTAAAGAATAGTATCTCCTGGGATATAACACCATGTGGTCCATTCAAAGTCAACTGAAGTTTTGGAGGAATATGTCGCACACAAACACACAGCAAACTGTTCTGGGCCCTTGTGTAAATGTGCCTGTTCAGTTACTTCTTTGGCAATTGCAGACACCCCTAATAATTAAAAAAAAGATCGATATCAGTAAAGGTTGTCTGTAAGTTCACTCCATGAAAACTTAAGAAAAATGTAGGAAAAATTCTACGCATTCTTAACTTCAGCTGTGCATGGAAGTGAGTCATCTGGTTCTTACATACTCCGCTAAACCGCCGAGGAATAGGCTCTCAATATGTACCGGATAGACTCCATTGGCCCAAGAGCAAGTATGTAAAATATGTGGAGATGAATCCGCGTTCCTGGTATATCTGAATCAGACATAAACTAAAAGAAAAAAAGTAAAGTAAAGCTATTCCTGTAACAGGTCGTGAAGGCCCATAGGGTTGTGAGATGTTGAGGGTCCCACACTATCCAGAGAATCTGCTCAAAGATGGCGGTAAGGTTGTCAGCTTTACGTGCTGGCCGTGCTTTACTCCCCAGGAAAATTATTTGATTAATTTCTGGTACTAATTTCTGTTGGAGGCTGAGTCGACCCCAGGGCCCTAGTGCGGCTGGAAGGATTAGATCAGTTGAAAAAAAAATCCAATGACCTCATCGGGACTTGAACCCGCGGCCTTCCTCGGACATGCGTACTGTTTCTGATCGCTTAACAGACTTTACTGACTGAGCAATCGCGTCCGGACCACATTACCAGAATACTACCGACATAGCCCGCAATCTAATCGTTTCCACTACAGATGGCGGAATAGTCCTCGCTAGCTGAGATTGGGGCCAGAAGGGGTAGCTCCTTATATGGAACATTGGCAGCCGAAGAAAGCTGTGAGGAGTATTCCGTGTCTGTTACTGTTGTAGTTTGGTCCTGTTGTTATTTGAAAGCATTGTGGCAAGGCAGTGATCTTTCGAAACATTTCCATCTCCCAAAGTTCGTGTTTCTGAGGAAGGAAATTAAGTTTTCGTGAAACAGGTAAGTTAAGATAGAATGAATTGCAGTTATTTTAGGGTCAGTGCACCGAAAGGCCCATAAATGTAATGGAATTTATATGATGTATTATGCTATTGATTTGATATGTATATAGGTATACACATATAGATATTGTCGGTTCCGGAAGCTTACACAAGGAAAAAGGAGAGTTCTCCAGTTTTACCATACGACGGCTGCTTATAACCGTTTCGTGACTTAATATTGTTTTAGTTATTGAACGGCATACGTCGTTCACATTGTAATGTTGACGTTCATTGCACCGGCATTCAGAACTGTCAACGCATGCTACATGAAAGAGGATAAATAGATTTGTGTATAACGTATAGATAAAGTTCAGCACAATCGTGAACAATTTAATACATACACATGAAGGATTTACTGATCATTCCACCATAGCTTTATGTAAAATCCGGCATTCAATGCCCGAATCGGACTATACTTTTAACGGATAGGGTATCATGTCTCGAGATGTTCGGGCGTACTCAGTTTGTATGCATGCTGTAATCATCAGTGAGTCAGTCTGAAGTCCCATTGTTGTATGTCTGGAAGGAAAACAGCCGGTATTGAAATATGTTACCGTTGAGGGGGGTTTGTATTCAAGTTATTTAAACCCTACGCGCATCGAAAAGACCAATGCTGAATTTCACGTGTAAAATACACTAGTACGGCTGCAGCTTGACCACAGTCTCGTATATTTTGTCTATAGTGACACTAATTGTTTTTTTGTAGACGAATTGTGTTAGTACTAGTCCTGTTGCGTACTGCCATGAAGAAGGCCCTGGATATAAGATCTAATGAAACGTCGAAGACAAGCGTTATTATGAAAAATGGTTTAGTCACTGTAGTTTATTCATGAGAAGTATACATTTGGGAATAAAGAAAAAGCCATGTAATTTGCCATCTGTTCATTTGATCCTAGCCTTATTTATGTAATGTCCTGTTAGAATCAATACATTTCTAGACAAAAAGTATGTGCTTATTTTGAAGTGGTTCAGATGCGTTTCTTTCGATATTCCAACATTTATTTCATTATGAAGACGTAGCTCTGAAACGGAAACAGAGATCTACAAATAAAATTGGCACAATAAAGTCAGCCTCATGTTATGTCCAATTTGTTTCATGCGTTTTGTCAGCCATTTCGGGCAGATGCTGAGACGGTACCCTGAATAGGTCACGACCAGTTCCGTCAAGATAATTTCCACTTGTTCAGTCATCCTATCATCTGACGAGCCTGGAGACTGACAGCGCCTTTAAATAACATATTGTTTCATAAAGGCAGTTCAAAAAGAGTGGAATTGTTCATTCAATATACTGGCTGTACCAGTTGGTGCAACAAATTCTCGAATTCTTAATACACTATTTATTTCGTATGCTGTGTCAATATTTGCTGTATCCTCGTTCCTTGCAGCTTGACTAAGAAGGGGCCGCACAAGATGCCGTCCATTTAATGTTGTCCACCATTTTGTGCTTGAATGATCTGCCTTGTTTTAAAACAACCGAAGATGACAAACTGCTTTGTTCGCATTTGACATCCTTGTGCCTTAAACACGGCGTGGCTGCTGGGTGGACCATATAGAACGACTAAGTCTGCTGTATTAATTTTTGGTGTTGCCGGAGCAAAATATTATAGACGTTCATTGCTTTAATGTATTGTTCCCGAAACATTTCCAGCGGAACACTTCGACTTTAGAGAAACGCTGATTGAGCCGCAGAATCCGTCAGTACGGAACACAACGAGATGTGGTTCAGTTCCGTCAGAAAACGAGTTTCATTAATTTATTTTCGGAATTTTGCAGTTTTCATAACGTTGTATAGTCCGTTGAAAGTCAAAGCACAGCCCTGCTTGCCACCTGCTTTAACACTCGTTTCTTGCTCGGCTTATTCTTCTACCCTGAAGATGGAGATGATATGTTCCTCCGAAACGTCAGTTGATTTTCAACGAACTACGCGGCGTAATATTCCAGAAGATGGTACTCTTCATAACCACCGCTGTGAGAACCTCCAAGTCAGTATTGGGAGCCTTTGTGACTCATGGATATTCTCTAAGTGATTAAGAGAAACATTTCCAACTCCCCTGCCCACGTTTTGATTGTTGATGAGTTTCTAGCGATTTTGTTCAGCATGGAACAATTATGTCGTTCGGCGGAAGTTGGATATGAATGTGTAATTGGAGTTGGGAACAAAGGACTGACACTGATAAGAAATATCTGATGAAGAGAGTTGTTATCAGTATTTGCCTTGTTCTCTGATGATGGTCATACTCATGATAGTAAATTATTATTATTTTTTTTCTTGGGGTGGGGTGAGACTGAGTCCACTTGGTACGTCGGCCACTACTGGCCTATTGTACCAGCCCCGGATGGTAGGTGATAGATGAGTGTGGAGCAGTCGGTGGAATGAGAACTGGCAGGGGAAATCGAAGTACTCAGAGAAAACCTGCCCCAGTGCCACTTTTTCCACCACAAATCCCACATGACCTGACCTCGAACTCGGGTCACCGCGGTGGGAAGCCAGCGACTAACCGCTTGAGCTATGACACGGCCTACTAAATCATTATTACGGCCATTCTAAAAGCGTGTCCACATTACTCGTGCTCGTGTGACTCGCTATGCTCGCGAGTAATGTGGACGATATGACAAGTCACGAGACAGGCAAATTTAAAATTTTTAATTTAAGAACTATGTAGCTAATAAATTAAAATACGACAACAGCCTATACACACTACGAGTAAATATACGAATCCTCACGCGCTGAAGCCTGGCGAGCAACTGAAGTAGTGTAGACGAAGATTTACGAGCACAAGTAAAAGCGAGACAAGTCTCCCGGCGAACACGAGCACAAGCGCGAGTAATGTGGACGCGCCTTAAGAATACAGATGCCTGAAGGAAACAAAGACGTTTCTACTACACGCTACTCTGGTCTCCTGCTTGAAGCTTTCTCTCTGGATGACAAATTTTGTCAAGAATGCGTGCTCGGAAACAATGGAAATTGAATAGTTAATACAGATTTTCTTCAGTTCGTTTTCTGTTTATATCCGTGTGTTCGCCTTTGGGCCTGTCGTCCCTCACCCCAGTTCATGAACGTCATGCAACCCTAAGGTTGTCTCATTCCTGTATTCTTTGTATTTCCTACGGCGTAAGTAGGAGCCGGGATGGTGCAGTCTGCTGTCGGCTAGACGACTGAGGGGTCGGAGTTCAATAATTTCCTCTTCTCCTCGTCTATACCTGCTCCGGGGCCCACCAATGGATACCAGGGGCTCCTTCTCCGGGGGTACAGCAGCATGTGCATGAAGCTGACCACTCACATCCGACTAATGCGAAGCAAAGAAAATATGGATCTATACATCCACTCCCATACGCTTTCATAGCGTAGTGCTTAATTAGTTAAGCACAGGGATAACTTTACCTCTTTTACCGCCTAAGTAACACGTATATGGCGGTCTTCCGAGATGGGAGCGACACTAGTGCCACGTGAGGTAGTGTCTTGAAGTATTCCACAGTAACAAGATCTCCGCAAGACAAAGGCTTATGCGCGCTGGTTTCACGCCAGGTTCGTTGCAGTTCAGAAATTTTGAAGCATTTTGAATGACCATATAAAATCGATGCCGACCACAGTGGCCGCGCGGTTTAAGGTATGAAACGTCTACGCCCGCTGGAACACTGGGATCATGGGTTCGAATCCCACTCAAGGCATGGATGTCTCTGTGCGTTTATTCTGTATGTAGGTAGCAGCCTTGCGGCGGGCTGATCGCCTGTCCAAGAAGTCCTACCAACTGTATAACAGTTAAAAAACTGAAAAAGCGGCAAAGGTCCACGAAGGCTGTAGAGCCATAGATAGGTGGGTAGGTAGAAAATCGATTTTAATGGATTTTGATTGAAGTTAAGTAGTTAAGTCTTCGCGTTTGAAGAAAATTCATAATTGATACATGGATTATATCTTACAGAACTTAATATAGCGAGACTTCTAGTCAGACAAGTAGCATGTTTTCGTCATTTCCAGCAACTTCTCGATCCACGCGCGGCAGGCACAAGCGCACAGGTTTAAGGCCACCGAAAGTCACGGATAACTAACTACCCTGAAGGCAGCCGACCGAGTGAATGTTACTCTCTGATCTAATAAACTGAAAATATCTCCATATTAATAAAATCATCAATTCATCCATAAAAGATGCAAAATTTCTCTGTTATTTTAATAACTATAAGTTACCGATATTATTCGGGCTTCGAAACGATTGAAGGATGAAGCTAAAGGAGGCTCCAACACGGCCTTCTGATGTTGTGATTTCGCTTTTTTTCTCGTTCTGTTATCGTCTGTTTTGTGATATCTTTGCCTTCGCCGCGATCTGACGAGCGGTGTTGCGTCCTAGCCCTTACAACAGTCGTTTTAAAATTGTGGATCGCAGCCCCTGAGAGGGGGGGGGTAGAATATTTTAGGGATGTTATATAGTAAAATCGGCCGCCTCTATGGTCTAGAGGTCAGCGTTCTTGGCTACAGATCCAGAGGTCCGGGTTCGATTCCCGGCGCTACCAGATTTATTTCGGAGAAGTACTGGGTCTGGAACGGGCTCCACTCGGCCTCGTGATGATAAATGAGGAGCTATTTGAAGGAAATAGCGGCTCCGGTCTAGAAAAACGAAATTAACGGCTGTGGGGGTTCGTTGCCTTGACCACGCGACACCCTCTATCCGCAAAAGTTGGCACTAAGCTTCGCCGACAAGCGGCGGTCGCTCGGTCGGTATAGTTCGCTTGCGGACTGAAATCACGGAGTTTTTTCCTTTCTATAGTAAAATTCAGTTGATTATAATTCTCAAAATGTCGGAGCTCGGTTGTTTATTGTTCGTGCATTGATTTCTAGAAACGTACCCCCTACAGCTAAACACTGCGCCTTTCAGGTAAGAGCTTACGCACCTCCTGCACAGTTTGAAGCCCCACGTCACGAGCAGTTGCTGTTCGCTTTTGATATGTGGCAGCGTTGCTACTCCC